CCGGCCCCCTCGGAACCGCCGGTCGCAACGGGCTGAGGACGCTCAAACTCATCGCTCCCGCCAGGAGCGGCGAGAGGAGGGGTTTGGGGGGAGCCCCACGGGGGGCGCTGGGCCCATCTCCCTCCGGGCGGCTAAAGGGGGGATACTGCGCCCCCGAAGCGGGCTGGGCTCCCCCCTCGGGTGCTTCGGGTGCGGGCGCCGCTCCCCTCTCCTCCCGCTTGACCCATACGTGCTGTCGCGGGTTCACCGGAACACCGACTGCAGGTGTCCGATCCAGAGCCGCCAGAAATACCGCTCCTTAAATTCCCATCTCTACCTTGGCTCGGCGGCGCCGTTAGGAATAATTGGGCAGACTCATAACAAAACTCAGAAATGACTGAACTTCCTCCGCTTGGGCACACTTAATTAATTAGAGGGTCCTTTCTTTCTGCTCCATCAGGTACGGTTAAGGATACGCTGCTGGCTACTGCCGCTCCGGTAAAGGGGGCCAGGGCTTTCCAAGGCGTTTTCTGATTAACGTCCTAACGCTGGAAGACCACTTCTTACCTAAAGGGACACTAAAAGTTTGTTGCTAGCAGCAAACATGACTTCTCCGTTTCCATACGGCCTGTAGGAGATCAAGGTAAATCTATTTCAATGTTCCTGCGATCTCCTTCCTCGCTGCAAACCCCAGCTCCTCTGCTCCAAGGCAGGCTGGTAGCGGGAGGTTGCCATCGTCGCACGGGGGGCTGGCTACAGTTTTACTGGTTTGCTTGAGGGGGAGGGGAGGGAGAAAAGCCCACAGAGAACACGACAGGGAATCCAAAATCCAAATCTACCGGTTTATCCCCCACGAATCCATCTGCATTAACGCTTTGCCTCTGAACGGAGCTTCCCATCGCAGGGTGCTCTGATCTCTCGCCGCAGCGTTTTGGGAAGGGTGTCTGATGTGCACTGGTCGGGATATTTTAGTAACATGGCAGGCGCTCGCAGGTTTTTCGCTTGCTGTAAGGCTGCACCCAGACTCCCCAGGCTAAGGAGGATGAGGGGCACACGTCGCTAGTGGGGGTCCCAGCGGTGAAACCCTCTTCCGCGCCCCGGCCGCAGCCCTGCCCGGAGCTCCCGCGGCCGTTCCCCCCTTCCCAACCAGCCCGTGCCCGGGACAGATTCCAGCATGCGGTCACTGGAATCCGCTTGGCTACAGAGTCCTCCTTCTTCCTGGCCACGGGCTACGCTCTAAAGCCTATTACAGCGTGAACGATCTTGTGTTTAGTTCTGAGGCGTTAGGGGAAGCTCTACATGCAAATTAATAATTGACCAACAATAATTAGAAGAAAGGGGAGGGTATTGAGGCGGGGGGGTGGGGGTGGAAGGAGGGGGAGCGCTGTGAGCAGAACTGGTTTGGATTTAGTCTGTCCTAGATGAGGCCACCGCGTGTCCCGGGCTGCGGGCGCCGGGTCAGCTGCCGCCGTCGCGCAAGGGCAGCAACACTTCACACTGGCTCCGGCAGGTACCTGAACTTCCCAAGACACTTCCAGTTTAATCATTTCCAGAAATTTAAAGAGCGTAGTAATAACAGCAACAGGATTACGATCCCGTTGCCTGAGAGTCGAGTGGTTAAAGCCAGGTCTATTTTTTAAAAAAAGCTATTTTCTGCTCTACGAGCTTGTGTTGGAGTACAGCGCTATTAATGATCAACCTCATCTCTTTGTGAAGTCCGCGGCTTAGTACAAGCAAGCGAGACACAAAGAAGGACAATCTGAATAGTTACATCTCTCGGCGTTGGCATCAAATGTAGCTAATGTCGTTTTCAGCTTCTAAATGGGTTGCGTTTTTGAAAAAGCCCATTGCTTAAAATTCCACTTTGGTGTCAGAAACAACGTATTTTACCATCCCCATCTTTCTCCTGCCTCGAGTCCTCTCTAGTGTAGCGTAGAGCAACTTTCGCTTATGGTGTTAGAGCGCAGGGGAAAGCCGGGGCCCGGAGCCCAGCCCCTCTGCTCCCCGCCAGCCTGCGCCTAACACCAGCGCGGGGGGGCTTTCACCGCAAACATCACCGAATTGAAACACCCAAACCTCCGTCGTGCTTGTACCTCCCGGTAATCTGAAAACATGGAAATTAAGACACGTAGCCATTCGCTTAAGGAGATGATATTTAAATAATAAGCAATTAGGTGCTTTGCATAGTAATCCTAGACACACATCTCCATCGCCAAACGCCGGGATGACCACGAACAAGTGATCACACAGCCAGAAGAAAGCAGGAGAGGCGGATTATTGTCTAACACGGAACTGTTCACCGCCAAAGACCTCAGCATTGTTAGCTTCTTACTTGTCTGATATTAACCGCTAATCGTTTTGGCACTCCTGTTGTAATTAAGCTGTTGGAAATTATCATATTTTGCTGCTTTTGAAAAGCACTCCCTTACAGGCTAGATTCACAGGTGAAAGAAACCATTCCATTAAAAAAAACACAAAAAAACCCCAAAAACTAAAAAGAAAAAAAACCCCACAGGTTTGCCTTTTTTTTTTTTTTTTTTTTTTTTTTTTTTT